ACAATGCATCCAGCTGCGAAGATATTTCCAGACTGAACACATCCCTCCACTACGACAGTCATATCGCTTCGTTGACTGATTTGATGACATCCTTTCAGTTCTTCACAAGGCTCGATCTGTGCTTCTGTTGACCACGTATCCAAATCGTAATACGTATGAGTTACGCCATTGCACTGCAGCGCTTGACGACCTTTCTGTGACCAAACTGTTCCACTCCGATATGCGAAACCTTAAACACACTGATGAAAGTGTTTCAAGATGCGCATGGTGGAGTGGAAATGAGGCTGAAACCCACCTGGTTTGCACTTGAATACGTACGGCTTTGACATGAACGCATACATTTGACCACTGTGTTTAAATTCGTAAGGGCTCTGTAATATTATGAATCATGTAACACTTTCCGTTATTGACCATGTGAACAGTATTCCAGATTTTTCAAAGCGCTAAACAAAATTATCGAATTGCACTAAATTTCTGCATATCTCATCATTCATCAGGTAATAACTGACATAGGAACTACGAGAAAACGCATTAGAGTAAAGCGATTCCTCAATGATTCGTTTCATGATTCTCTCTAGATGCGGCAGCATTATCCAATGTGAGTGAAACATTGCGAAAGTAAAAAACACTATGATACCTTGAATATTTCAACACCTTTAGGCAATTTCGTGATTGCAGCACAACACTGTGCACAACTATCGTCAAAAGTTATTGTGGTTGACGATCTACCATCATGGGTTTTGCTATCAGTGCAATAAAATGAGTTCAAATTCTCGATAATCGTTTCAGAGTTGCGCGTTAGATCGGTTACAGAGTGTTCTGCAATACAGCCACAAAACATTCAATAGAATAAAAGAGGACACTTTTGTGAACTCTCAAATCCTTGAGAGAGCAGTCTGAAGGGAACTTTTCTTGGGGAATAGTTTTAGAGTAATTTTAAGCCATTGCCCTTAATGAATCTTGTAACTCAGTGGGAAACAACAACAATTTTAGACTACTGTAAACAGGAATGGATCTGTCGATCTTTTTGGTAATGTTGCAAATTGTTTTAAGGCTATGAAATGATCTACGTACATCATGACCTGGAGAACAAGTCGATTAAAACATCAAATCAACTGACTCATTCTGCATTCAGCAGTCGCGCCGTCAGGTAAAACGTAGACAGTGTTTTGATTGGTGATAACGGTATTCTGGTTGGTGTTTGTGCTCACGAATTTACTTGGTGAAATACAGCCCTTCGTGCAATTCAGTGCTATTTTAATGACTCTGTTGAACTGATCCGTCCAACCAGTCCCGCTTGGACCACATCTCAACTGCTGTGTCACAACTTTCAAATACGAGTCCTCCGGATAGTGTCCTTGAACAACAACACATTTACAACTTATGTAAAAAGAAAACAATTATATGTTATCATTAGTCGCTAGTGGCAAATATGCACGTGATGGTCAACAACTTTAATGA